GATTACATGGTTACTAGCAAGTTATAAACACTAAATACAATATACAATACTTTGAGTGATACCAGTCAATGAATAATGTCGATTACATGGTTACTAGCAGGTTTTAAACACTAACTATAATATACAATGTTTTGAGTGATACCAGTCAATGAATAATGTCGATTACATGGTTACTAGCAGGTTTTAAACACTAACTATAATATACAATGCTTTGAGTGATACCAGTCAATGAATAATGTCGATTACATGGTTACTAGCAGGTTTTAAACACTAACTATAATATACAATGCTTTGAGTGATACCAGTCAATGAATAATGTCGATTACATGGTTACTAGCAGGTTTTAAACACTAACTATAATATGCAATGCTTTGAGTGATACCAGTCAATGAATAATGTTGAGTACATGGTAATTGCAGGTACTAAACACTAAATGCAGTTATCCAACTGAACCGAATGAACGTAGAGGTCAAAGACAGAGGTAAAAAACGTTAGCCTGTTCTGAGATAACGTGTCTATTAACATTTAGTTCGGGTGATGAAATGTCGAATACGAGCTAAATCGGACCTGTCCAAAACACCACTTTTTGGTTGCCCAGTTGGATGATTTACTGTTGTATTCCCACTATGTAATGTTGTTTAGAATTTACGTCATGACAATGAACGCGGGCACAGACATGTTGACGCGAAAAAACAAATCAATCTACTGAAGATGAGACTCATGCACTGTATTGAGAAATCAAAGTTAAAAAGACTGGAAATTCTCATATTCGAATTAAATTTTGAAGGCTCTCGCGTGTTTGAACGCAACAGGGTCTAGTCTATATGCAAACATATGGGATAAAATATGGCAATATAGTAAAAGCAGTGACGAAAAGGCTGATTCAATCAGCACCGAGAGAACAGTTTATGCAGAACACAAGAGTCACGTCAAATGGATGTATTTTCCAGATATATTGTGTTGCAGTATAACATCTTGTCAGCCAGCAAACCAATTGATGGCGATATTAAACAATGTGTAATAATCATTTTCAAATATTCCTATTCTAGAAGTTTAATTACAAATTAATTAATTGGTTTTGGTGATTATGGTGTCAAATTTACCGCATTTGAACAGTAATGGATATACAATACAATACTCACTAATATAATACATATATTGTAACGAGTTGCCCAATTTGTTTTGGCAAACTGTAACATTCGTAATTATTAGAATACAATATTTCATTGTTGTTGGTCGACGTTTGGTGATTGATTGGAGCCAAACGGCAACCATACATTTAAGTGTCATGATAATTTTGAGATATTAAAATAAAAATATTCCACGTTGATAAGTTTAAAATATATCATGCATGGTTTCCCGGACCCCCTACTGTCGTATTTACTCTAGATGGCCCACTCTGACTCTCCAATACGCCAACTTTGTTTTTACACCTGCAGAATATTAACACAATACCGCTTCGAAACGGTTTGCTCCAAAATGCGTAAATGAAAGGATTTAGGCATGAATTTAGACCAGCTAGAACACGCGTGAAATTATAAATGACATCACTGACGTGTATCTCGGACTTAAAATTCAGAATCAAAAAAAGAAACTGATTAGGTCCCCAGCAGATTAAGAATGCCAGGCATACAACTGAGAACATCTTGATGACTTTCTTTCTGGTACGGATCCTGGCGGGTGTAACAGTTTTACCATGATCAGCACTGCCTTGTCCAATTTTGCGTTCACTTTCACGGAGAGCGAGAAAAATTCTAGCATACGCAACCAATAAAATTACACCAGGAACAAAATAAGTGGCAAAAAAAAGTCCGACACCAGCAAAAGTTTGATACCAGTCCCCAAATGGCCATTTGTAGCTACAGCTGTCTATTGTCGGATTGTATGAATTGTTGTAGACGCAAAAGCTCTGCATGATAAAGGCGAGAAGCCAGACAACGAATATGATGAGTACTGCGGACACCCTTCCCTTATGCCCACTATATCGTAATGGGTGAACGATTGCAACATATCGTTCCATGGTGATAGCTATTAGTGTGTACGTAGATGCAACAAAACTCACCCACAGAATCGTAGCTTTGACAGTTCGACAGTAAATTTCTCCAGCTATTCCAGAAGGTACAGCGAAAAAGCCTCGCAATGTCCGCGGAACAAGAAAAATGGATGCCAGTAGGTCTGCCACTGCCAGCGATGCAGTGAGTCTGAACGTCAGCTGTGACCGAAGATGCGGGATGCCGATCATAACGATAATAACCACCAAATTGCTGATAACCCCGACGGCGGCGATAACGATTTCGGTAGTTTGTACGTAAGTCCACACAGGACTCGATATTGTACTTGAACCCATCTCTTCCGTGGCATTGCTCTGTGTTGTAGAATTCATGTTGGAACCGTAAGTATTGTTAAGATGACATACAGGCTCGAGTCTTTTGATGGATTGTGTTTTCATTTCATTTACATACTCGTGTATTATACTACGCCTATATCCATGGTTACCAAAATAAGCGACGACATCGAGTACATATCACAAATAGACGTGTATTCATTGGCTAAACAACTGAATTGAAAACGATTCCTAGTTTCTATATGTCATGTGTAACTTACACAGCAATTACGGAACGTCGACTACAGCAAATTGTACATAGTCGGATGATAGCCTAGCGTAATTCATTATATGCGTTTACATGACGAACCAGTTAAGATTGTGACCGCACTCTTGACAAGATGGAAAACGTGCTTTTGTCGTCAAACTTGCAAGTGATTTCAAACAGCTGATGATTACTTGGGTATCTATCACTAATTGTCAGACTCATGTGTTCCAGTCGTTCAAAATAATTGTTTAATATCTTCCACTGCTACCCTGAAAACAAATATATTGTATAATGTTTCAGTCTTACAGTAGTACACTGTTTACAAATTACCCAATATGACTAATAAATATAAATAAAATAATTTACCTCGAACAACATCAACATCCCATTCAGCGTTATTGCTGTAACTAGTCATACATGTAAACCGTAAAAATGTCTAATCATCATGACAGTCTGGGCTCTAGTGTGATTTGGATGTCTTTGTAAGTTGTTCTTCTCTATAGAAAATTCGTGACGTCCGCTACAAACCGCTGAGATAGCATGAATTATGCAGCTGTTTATGCCAGTCATATTCGAGTATAGTATATGCGTTTATCAATGTAATTGAATTTCATGTTACGTTCCTTTTAACCTGAATTACCAGCTGCTTGACTGTGCAAATAACACGTTCATTAAACACAGTGTCAAGATAAATCACCCTATTGGAACTGTGGAAGTATTGTTCCCTGGTCTTATTACTGAGGGAATACATATTCCAGTCGTTCACTATTACTCACTGCGTTTAAGGATAACGTCGTGATATAGAAATATTTTACGTTAGAATTGGGCAAAAAGTAAATCGCCATAGCTTCGAATATTAAATTATGATTGAGTAATGCTAGATGTTGTATGTTGAATATAATGGGCTGGTATTGTAAAACATTAATACAGATAATCACAGTACTTGTTTGGTATATGAACGTCGTACTCTATGCAGACTCAATCATATTCCAATTTCTATCGTTGTGCAATCACGAAATGTAGATTGCATAGATGCCATGAACAACAATCAATATTAATAAATTTACATAAATAAGTCTCTGACACCGTTGAGCCACGCAACTGTTTGTTAAAATGGGCATTTGTCAAATAATACAGGATTATATAAACACAAAGGCTTATTCGGTTTGCTGATTTCTAATTGCTAGTTCACCTCTTTGTCAACGACGAAATAGGCGTACTAAACATATATATATATACAAAGTAAGCGACAATTAAAGACTAAATAGCAATACTGTAATTATAGCTGGTGATTACCTGCATAAGCCATTTTGTTACTGGCCACAATCTCCGCTGCAAATTTTAGAGCAGCAGGGCAGATAATTTTAATGTTGAAAGGCTTTGGGTTATTTTGAGCAAAAGAAGACCAGGATTGGTCCTGGCTTTTGAGTGATCAGTAACAACAGATGATGGAAATTAGAAAATAATTTCATGATCGGAAAATGATGTTGATCTTGCGTAGTACTTCAAATTATAATACCAGCGACAAAATGCACAACGTTTACATATGTCGACCAGCAATATTTGTAAGAACAACATTGAATAGCAAACAAGTAGTTAAGGCCAAACAGTAAAAAGACTGTTGTGTATTTGATGAGTCGTCTAACATGAGATTGTACTGTGTGATCACAAGGACAACACATCCCAGGTATGGTAATGTACAATAACATGGAAAGAAATATAGCTGCAAGTCGTAATGTAGAGGGAAGTATGTAGACTAAATAGGTATATCAGTTTAGAATAGAGAAGGTAGAGAATGAAATGGGTTGGCCAGAAATAGGGCCACACTGTTCAGAATGAAATAGCTGGGCTACAAATAGGACTATACTGTTCAAAATAGAATAGGTAAAATAAGAATAGGGTTACACTGTTCAGAATAGAATGGGTTGGCCGGAAATAGGGCCACACTGTTCAGAATGGAATAGCTGGGCTACAAATAGGACTATACTGTTCAAAATAGAATAGGTAGAATTAGAATAGGTTTACACTGTTCAGAATAGAATGGGTTGGCCAGAAATATGGCTACGCTGTTCAGAATGGAATAGCTGGGCTACAAATAGGACTATACTGTTCAAAATAGAATAGGTAAAATAAGAATAGGTTTACACTGTTCAGAATAGAATGGGTTGGTCAGAAATATGGCTACGCTGTTCAGAATGGAATAGCTGGGCTACAAATAGGACTATACTGTTCAAAATAGAATAGGTAAAATAAGAATAGGTTTACACTGTTCAGAATAGAATGGGTAGGCCAGAAATAGGGCCACACTGTTCAGAATGAAATAGCTGGGCTATAAATAGGACTATACTGTTCAAAATAGAATAGGTAAAATAAGAATAGGGTTACACTGTTCAGAATAGAATGGGTAGGCCAGAAATAGGGCCACACTGTTCAGAATGGAATAGCTGGGCTATAAATAGGACTATACTGTTCAAAATAGAATAGGTAAAATAAGAATAGGTTTACACTGTTCAGAATAGAATGGGTTGGCCGGAAATAGGGCTACACTGTTCAGAATGGAATAGCTGGGCTATAAATAGGACTATACTGTTCAAAATAGAATAGGTAAAATAAGAATAGGTTACACTGTTCAGAATAGAATGGGTTGGCCGGAAATAGGGCTACGCTGTTCAGAATAGAATTGGCGGGCACGAAATAGAGCTACATTTTTGGGAATCAGTACACTTTTCGGAGTTGAGTGGATGGGCTGGAAATAGGACTACACTGTTGATAATGGAATGTGTGGGCCGGAAATAGGACTACATTTTTTAGAATGGAATGGAATAAGTTGGTTAGAAATAGGGCTACACCGTTCAGAGTGGAATGGATGGGCTATAAATAGGGCTACAAGCTCAGAAGGGAATGGGTAGGATAGTAATAGGGCTACATTTTTGAGAATGAAATTGTTGGACAATAAATATGGCTAGACTCTTCAGAGTGGAATGAATGGGCAGGAAATAGGGCTACACTGTTGATAATGGAATGGGTGGGCCAGAAATAGGACTACACAGTTCAGAATTGGATGGGTCGGCTAGAAATAGGTCTACACTGTTCAGAATAAACATTGTCTTGCTGGTCTGAGATGGCGGTAGTATACGACATGGAAAACACAGTCACACATTAGAAAAGTTTGAATTTGGTATTTTATATGTATTTATGTGTCGAAGCCGAATAAAGATTGTTTCGATGGCTTGGGATAGCGTGAATTTTGTTGATACTAATATTATTTATTATTACTGGTGCGGGAATACATATGTTCTTAACGAAATTATATAGCAACTACAAAATAAATAAATAAAGTTACTGACATGTCATTAACTGTTACAAACTTCAATCTATGAACGCCCTTGCACAGACTTTCCACCGAAACATCACGAAACATTATTTATGCACAACGCGGCTATAGGTTCAGGTAACCATGGGAAAGGTCACACTGGAAAACTGAGAAGCAATATATGAAATATTTCCTATCGCAGTCCGTCCTTAGGGACAAGGGTTAAACAAACAAATGGTATATTTCAACAGACATCTTTTCCTAAATTCCAGTCTTCAAATACACACGAGATGTTACATTCTATATTGAAATAGTTAATCTGTCTGAATCCACTTTGCTTTATTAATTTTAGGTTCATGATGGTTGGAAGGGAATTATAAAGCGGCCACAGAGTACATATTTTGCTATTTTCTTTATTATAAACATTGTTAATTCAAAGTAGGCAACACTGTACATGTTAGTAATCTCTTGTTTCATTTTTATGATCAAATTGAATGAGTTCACTTGGAAGGCCCCAATGCTGTGATTAGAGCAACTGGAATATAGAATGAGTCCACTGGGAAGGCCCCAATGCTGTGATTGGAGCAACTGGAATATAGAATGAGTCCACTGGGAAGGCCCCAATGCTGTGAATGGAGCAACTGGAATATAGAATGAGTCCACTGGGAAGGTCCCAATGCTGTGAATGGAGCAACTGGAATATAGAATGAGTCCACTGGGAAGGCCCCAATGCTGTGAATGGAGAAACTGGAATATAGAATGAGTCCACTGGGAAGGCCTCAATGCTGTGAACAGAGCAATTGGAATCTAACTGGAGGATAATAACTTATTCCCACAATAGATAACGTCAATTTCTTAAAAAAGGTCTAAGAACTGAATACAAAGATGTCTGCTTGAAAATTGTATTATATTTTGAAAAGAATTTTGTGGGAACACGGGAATAAATATGGTACTATCGGCATGCTTACTAATTGAATAAATATGGTACTATCGGCATGCTTACTAATTGAATAAATATGGTACTATCGGCATGCTTACTAATTGATTAACAGACGTACACTAATTTACAATCAGTTATCACTATTTGCCAAAAAGAAAGGTTAGTCACACACACACTTGAAAACAAATCTAACAGTTGACGATATTTAATAATCCAGCTGATTACAGTTGATATTACCACAATTGTATGTATATTGTATAATGTAAGGTATTGAAAGGCGTGTCATCTAGTTGGGTAGGGATGTCTTAAAGAATAGGGAGAAATAATTCAAACTCAAGTGGAGAGATACACTCCTAATATTTATTGAATAATCTGAGTATTCAAGTATTTGATTGGGAGTGTTCTTAAGCATATGTCAACGTTATTATGCCTTCAAACATTTAGTACACATTGCCTGCAATCTATACACATTGAGATCATAAAATTGTCCACAGCGAGAATTCAGTTCAGCTATGGGAACGATTAAGTCTACTGAGTTA